CGGCATAGACTACGAGTCTCTTCGTCATCTTCTTCGTTTTACTCTTTATCCTGCCCGCCGACACGACCAACAAGGGGGCTTCCTTCGATCGAAACAAAAAAACTACGCCCCCAAAGAGTAAGCGATGTTGGGCCAAGCGCTGCGCGGCGCGTTCAATCGCTACTCGACCCTGTTGGAGACCCGCCCCGTGGCCACACGAAGCGTAACTGCGTTTTGCGTGGTTAGCTCCGGCGACCTGGTGGCCCAGTGCATCACCCACCGCCCTCGAAACTACCGACAGTACGGGCTTCCTGCGCCACATTTATTTTCTAATTATCATTTTTAAATCAATATTAATATATATATCCATATTGCAGTGCGGCGGGCATGGGCATGTATGGAGCGTGCTTGATTGCGCCCATCGGCTACGGATTCTTCAACCTACTCCGCCGGATCGTCCCACCCTCTTCTTCCCCACTCAAGCGCGCCCTGAAGAAGGTTCACTTTACTCTGCTGATCGCCCTTTCTGGCTTTCGCTCTTTCTCAAGTATGCACAAGCTTCGTGTGAATGTAACATTCTTATCGTCACCCGACACACACACAACATGACACACAACAGCTGGCGCTGGACCTCACGATCTGGCAGCCATCGTTTTCCTACGCCTTTTGGCTGTATAACGGCCTTGTGTTGGGCGATGGCGGTGTAACCAACATGGAGCAGGCCATATGGCGCGCCAACGCGCTGTTCCTCCCAACCCTAATCAACGCCTACTGTTTCTGGTACGTGTCCACCCGCTCCTTGTATTTTGAGTGTTGTGTGTCATGTGAGCGTCATGTGTGTAGAGTTTGTGTTGTGTGTTGTGCCCTAACCCAACTTGCCTTGCTGTCCAGGCCATTTGCCAACTTCATTACATTCTACTGCATTCCTTTCAAGTTTCGACTGCTGTGGCGCAAGAGTGTGTCCTTCTCATGGAACACTTTCCTGTGTTGGTACAACAGCAAACATGGCCACTCTCCTCTCTTCCTCTACCCACCACCTTCCTTCTTTTTCTCCACTTCTTCCTTTTCTTCCCTCCCTACCCCTTTATCACCACTTTCTTCTTCAAGCTCACCTGCCACTCCCTCATCCCCTCCAGTACCACCAGCACAATCTCCCACAATAAAATAATCCATTTGCAACAATGGCCATACTCCTCCCTCCACCCACAGAACAAGTCCATTAATTGCCAAACCTGACCTGTGTACACCATCCTTTGAGTACTTCAGAAGTTGGCCTACTGGGATTTAGGAAATGACTGTTTATGCCAGTTATGCTGCTTGTTATTTGAGAACCCCTCTGCATGATGTCTACTCCTTGGGTTTAAGTTCATCCAATTCTGTGCTTACATTCCTGATTGGAGAGAAGAAAAAGAGGCACTGTCCTTTTTTGTTGAACACTTGGTTGAACTGGATACTCCCACTGGACTCTTGTTTAAGCAGGTGGCACACACTTCCCTTCCACATTGTAGCTGCTCTCTTCCACAAGCGGCTCCTGTCTGTCTACAGGGCAGAAGGCAAATCAGCATCAACCTAGTGTTCATGAAAAGGGGACAGTGCACCTTTGAAAACAGAAGAAGCATGAAAAGGCCATTTTGGTCATGTGGTTCTGTACCATGCACCTTAAAAGACCTGGAAAGAACCCCACACACTTTTGGTGTTTTCTGTTCTGACACCCCATTTTTGCTGATTTCTGTACATGGCCATGAGCCCCCTGCAAGCCAGGCTTTCCTCAGTTTTGGTTTGTGGAGATCACTGTTCTATTAATCTTTTATCGCAGGACGGATGGCCGAGTTGGTCTAAGGCGCTACGTTCAGGTCGTAGTCTGGGTCTCCAGGCGTGGGTTCGAATCCCACTTCGTCCAACGTGTGTTGGTGCCTGGCCATGTGGTGTCCTCCATCATAGGGAACACACCCCTAATGTCTGTTGACTTTGGGTTGGTCTCAATGGTGGCTGTGAGCTCTTGTGTTACCTGCACCATGGCAATGACATGGCATGCCCATCAACACTAAGTCACCACTCCCACCTCCCAGTCCACAGTCCAACACCTACACAGTAATGCCACTAGCTAACCAAAAGTTGAACATTTTCCATCAGCAGAAGAATGCAGATGGTAGTAAGCTGTGTTTATGTAAGGAAAAGACAAGAAGACAGTATGATGTAGGTATGCTATATTAATATAGAAGTGCTTGAGACAGGGTCAAGTTGTTGCACTGTTAGCAATCACAATGGCACTCTGGCTGTTGCAGTAGATTGTTTTTGGTGTGTTTCAAGGCCCAGCAGTGCAAGGATCTTGCAACCAAAGACACCTTGCTTGCAGGTGTGTGTCAGGGCAACATAGAGCAGTTGCTTGCACTTGTCTGGCATCTTGTGGTTGTTGATGAACTTGTTGTTGTGTGACACAGAAAGGTGTGTGTTGCTTGTTGGGACCCACAGATGGTGTTGCTCAGGGTCCCAGGTAGCACACTGGCCACATGATCATCCAGCTTGCTCATGGCCTTGTGATCATTGAGCTGGTACACCTGGGATCCAAACAGGTGAAGGTGGGTGATCACAGGCAGGATGCCCCTCCAGAGTTCAAACAGGGATTGACCTCAATTGGCATGCATGGGGGCCTGATTGTTGACATGAACTGCAGTTGCTATGGCCTTAGGCCACAGCACACACAGAACATTGGCATTGGCAAGCATTGATCAAGCCATGTTGATGGACAAGCCAGAGATGAGTGTTGGTGGTGGAATTAATGCAAACTTATCATTTGCCAGAGCACATTTTATCAATCTGTACATTTTTCACATCTGCTAAGCACTGACCCTTTTTTGTGAACACTTGGTTCTGAGTGCTTGGTCCAGGCCCTCAACACATGCTCAAATCAAACAGCTGTGCAAGTGACCCCACTTGACCTGGAACAACACATCAACATCAACACTCTGGATGGCCAAGTCCCACGAATGCTGTCAGTTTGAGGTGTCCAACATCCTGCATGGGTGGCCAACCTCTGATCAAAATGGCCCTTCCACCACAAGGACTGGCCAAACATGTTGTAGATGATGCCATGGCTGTTCTGAAAATCATAAACACACATAGGCCTGCACACTCTCACTCTCTGCCTCAAGAACACTTGACTCACAGGCAACTTGCAGCAAAAATTAAAGTAATATTCAATTTCATTAATAGAGGATGTGAGCAGCAGGGATGTGGTGCATGGCCTGCCACACCTGCTGCTGCACCACAGCAGGAGGCTGGACCAAGCCTGCTGGTTGACTGCCACAATACACAACCAAGCACACTCCCATGTGGTCAGATCAACAGTAGTTTGTTAGTAGAGTTCAGTGCAAACCAGTCTGCACCAA